ACTTAACACCCATACTGGTTAAAACTGTTCTTTATAACTCTTTGGAAAGTGAACTATCCAGTGCGTACACTGCGCACACTGTACAAGTGCTTGAAGGTTGTACATATCATATCCCACAGGCGGTGTGGTCTGCATTAAAATATATTGGGTATTAACAAGAAATGGCAACGGGAATATTGACTTACGCTCTGTTGTTGGCATCAACAACATCCATATCCAAAGAATGAGAGGAACAGACACGGCAATCGTGAGTTGAAGATCGAGTGAATTAGACCGGGCACAGCAAAAATGGAAAGCAGTCACACACAATGGCAAAAAGCGACCGTCAGTAATCATTATAAAGGTACTGAACAAGGCCAAAATAAGTACAGCTACTTTCAACCTATTCAATCCCAATACTTGTCAAATTCGTTCTCTATTACTCTTCATAAAGTGAGCTATCCAGTGTCTTCACAATGCACACATGCGTGCAATGCGCACACGGTACAAGTGCTTGAAGGGTGTAAATATCATATCCCACAGGCGGTGTGGTCTGCATTAAAATATATTGGTTATTAACAAGAAATGGCAAAGGGAATATTGACTTACGGGCTGTAGTTGGCATCAACAACATCCATATCCAAAGAATGAGAGGAACAGACACGGGAATCGTGAGTTGAAGATCCAGTGAATTAGTCCGGGCACAGCAAAAATGGTAAGCAGTCACACACAATGGCAAAAAGCGACCGTCAGTAATCATTATAAAGGCACTGAACAAAGCCAAAATAAGTACAGCTACTTTCAACCTATTAAATCCCAATACTTGTCAAATCCGTTCTCTATTACTCTTCATAAAGTGAGCTATCCAATGTCTTCGCAATGCACACTGTACAACACATGCTTTGAGATTGTACACGTCACATCCAAGAAGCGGCGTGGCAACCATCACAAATATTCTGAAGTAAATACTCATTTTAAACAGGGAGTGGACTAGGAAACATTATCTTGCTTTCTGCAGTTGGCATTACAAATATTCGGATCTAAACAGGGAGATGACTTAGTACGTTAATGGTGAGGTGTAGATTGAGTGAATTATTCCGGGGCAAAGCAAAAATGGAAAGCAATTTCACATAATGGACAAATGGCTAATCAGTAATCATTGAAAAGGTGTTGAGGAAATAAAAATCAAGTACAGTTTCCATTGGTAATTGTGACAAGAAATCGTTAGGGTATACATTATTCGTCCCCATGGTTGTGATATGAGTGCGCATTTAGTTATATTTATTGCATTACAGCTAAAGTGTTGTTCTAAATTACTAAACACCCATACTGGTTAAAACTGTTCTTTATAACTCTTTGGAAAGTGAACTATCCAGTGCGTGCACTGCGCACACTGTACAAGCGCTTGAAGGTTGTACATATCATATCCCACAGGCGGTGTGGTCTGCATTAAAATATATTGGGTTTAACAAGAAATGGCAAAGGGAATATTGACTTACGCTCTGTTGTTGGCATCAACAACATCCATATCCAAAGAATGAGCGGAACAGACACGGCAATCGTGAGTTGAAGATCGAGTGAATTAGACCGGGCACAGCAAAAATGGAAAGCAGTCACACACAATGGCAAAAAGGACCGTCAGTAATCATTATAAAGGTACTGAAGAAAGCCAAAATAAGTACAGCTACTTTCAACCTATTCAATCCCAATACTTGTCCAATCCGTTCTCTATTACTCTTCATAAAGTGAGCTATCCAGTGTCTTCACAATGCACACATGCGTGCAATGCGCACACGGCACAAGTGCTTGAAGGGTGTACACATCATATCCCACAGGCGGTGTGGTCTGCATTAAAATATATTGGTTATTAACAAGAAATGGCAAAGGGAATATTGACTTACGGGCTGTAGTTGGCATCAACAACATCCATATCCAAAGAATGAGAGGAACAGACACGGGAATCGTGAGTTGAAGATCCAGTGAATTAGTCCGGGCACAGCAAAAATGGTAAGCAGTCACACACAATGGCAAAAAGCGACCGTCAGTAATCATTATAAAGGTACTGAACAAAGCCAAAATAAGTACAGCTACTTTCAACCTATTAAATCCCAATACTTGTCAAATCCGTTCTCTATTACTCTTCATAAAGTGAGCTATCCAATGTCTTCGCAATGCACACTGTACAACACATGCTTTGAGATTGTACACGTCACATCCAAGAAGCGGCGTGGCTTGCATCACAAATATTCTTAAGTAAATAATCATTTTAAACAGGGAGTGGACTAGGAAACATTATCTTGCTTTCTTCAGTTGGCATTACAAATATTCGGATCTAAACAGGGAGATGACTTAGGCCTCGGTCACACATGCACTTTTTTTGGCGGTTCCGCCAAAGCGTAGCTTACGCTTCCGCCGTTGCCTCGGCAACGGCGGAGGCGTAAGTTACGCTTTGGCGGAAAGTTTGGATTTCGCTACGCCAAAAAAATGCGAGCGGACCCTCCGCTTTCGCGGATCCGCTTTGGCGGAACCTGCATGGTGATGGCTTTGGAGTTTGGTGTGCTACTTCTGCACTGAGTTCTGGTGTTGTTTGGTTGCCGTTTGGTATTCAGTTTTCATATTGTTCTTCTTTGCCAATGAACTGTACGTTCTGGAGATCTCGCAAACAATACTGCATCGTTATGAGTGGATAATTGGTGAGGGAATCCGTCTCCCAACTCATTGGCCCCGATCGCGGACGATCTCCAACTCTCTCCAAGCAATACGTCCACCAGAGTATGCAACACTAGGATTGCAACCAGGGAGTAGTAGAGTACTCTGCCACACCCTCACTGCAACTGCAGGTATCCATGCAGTCGCTGGGTCGATGATGGATCATGGAGGAGGCAACGACACTCTGCTATAAAACAATTTGAATTTGATATTGATGTAAACTAAACTAATATTCAAATACACCCGTGCTGGGCCGCAGTGAATGTGCCCCAAATCCACGAGTGTACTTGACAGGAGACATTCAGCAGCCTGTCAGCGATCCACGATAGCTCTACTTGTACAAGCGAAGGTCGCTTCAACTCGGACAAGAAGGAGGCAACGACACCCCACTATACAACTATTTGAATTTGATATTGATGTAAACCAAACTGGTAATATTCAAAATACACCTGTACTGGGCCGCAGTGAATGCGCCCCAAATCCACGAGTGTACTTGACAGGAGACATTCAGCAGCCTAGCCTGTCAGCGATCCACGATAGCTCTACTTGTACAAGCGAAGGTCGCTTCAACTCGGACAAGAACATCTAAAATTTCATAGGACGTGCTGCATTTGCATTCTCTCCGCCAAAGCGGAGCGTTGAGGAGCACAGTAGTCTACATGTATGTGTGACCGCTGCATCGTGTGGTCCGCCAAAGCGGCTGCGGTAGTTCCGCTTTCCGCCTCCGCAAAAGCGGTGCAAGCTTTTCATGTGTGACCGCGGCCTTAGTACGGTAATGGTGAGGTGTAGATTGAGTGAATTATTCCGGGGCAAAGCAAAAATGGAAAGCAATTTCACATAATGGACAAATGGCCAATCAGTAATCATTGAAAAGGTGTTGAGGAAATAAAAATCAAGTACAGTTTCCATTGGTAATTGTGACAAGAAATCGTTAGGGTATACATTATTCGTCCCCATGGTTGTGATATGAGTGCGCATTTAGTTATATTTATTGCATTACAGCTAAAGTGTTGTTCTAAATTACTAAACACCCATACTGGTTAAAACTGTTCTTTATAACTCTTTGGAAAGTGAACTATCCAGTGCGTGAACTGCGCACACTGTTCAAGTGCTTGAAGGTTGTACATATCATATCCCACAGGCGGTGTGGTCTGCATTGAAATATTTCGGTTATTAACAATAAATGGCAAAGGGAATATTGACTTACGGGCTGTAGTTGGCATCAACAACATCCATATCCAAAGAATGAGAGGAACAGACACGGCAATCGTGAGTTGAAGATCGAGTGAATTAGTCCGGGCACAGCAAAAATGGTAAGCAGTCACACACAATGGCAAAAAGCGACCGTCAGTAATCATTATAAAGGTACTGAACAAAGCCAAAATAAGTACAGCTACTTTCAACCTATTAAATCCCAATACTTGTCAAATCCGTTCTCTATTACTCTTCATAAAGTGAGCTATCCAATGTCTTCGCAATGCACCCTGTACAACACATGCTTTGAGATTGTACAGGTCACATCCAAGAAGCGGCGTGGCTTGCATCACAAATATTCTGAAGTAAATACTAATTTTAAACAGGGAGTGGACTAGGAAACATTATCCTGCTTTCTGCAGTTGGCATTACAAATATTCGGATCTAAACAGGGAGATGACTTAGTACGGTAATGGTGAGGTGTAGATTGAGTGAATTATTCCGGGGCAAAGCAAAAATGGAAAGCAATTTCACATAATGGACAAATGGACAATCAGTAATCATTGAAAAGGTGTTGAGGAAATAAAAATCAAGTACAGTTTCCATTGGTAATTGTGACAAGAAATCGTTAGGGTATACATTATTCGTCCCCATGGTTGTGATATGAGTGCGCATTTAGTTATATGTATTGCATTACAGCTAAAGTGTTGTTCTAAATTACTAAACACCCATACTGGTTAAAACTGTTCTTTATAACTCTTTGGAAAGTGAACTATGCAGTGCGTGCACTGCGCACACTGTACAAGTGCTTGAAGGTTGTACATATCATATCCCACAGGCGGTGTGGTCTGCATTAGAATAACTTGGGTATTAACAAGAAATAGCAAAGGGAATATTGACTTACGCTCTGTTGTTGGCATCAACAACATCCATATCCAAAGAATGAGAGGAACAGACACGGAAATTGTGAGTTGAAGATCGAGTGAATTAGACCGGGCACAGCAAAAATGGAAAGCAGTCACACACAATGGCAAAAAGGACCGTCAGTAATCATTTTAACCCTTTGAGGTGCCACTGATTTGGCCAAAAATTCACATTTCTACCCACTCCGACAAGAATCACTGTAACTCCACAACCGTTCAACTTTTATATACACATGAGCACATTTTTCGCATCAGAAAAGAACAAGGAATAGGATGAAAAGATGTCCAGCGCTTTGTTTCCAAGTAATATTGACGAAAATATCAAATTACTATTGGCAACGATAGTACGAACGGTCCAATTCAGCCATCACCATGGCTTCTAAGATATAGTGGTTGAATTTTCCACAAAAGTAGGTGGTCTGCACCAGAAAGAGTCTGGAAAGGGATAGGAAACACTCACAAGGATACACCAGCCAATGGAAATATAGAACACGCCATGCTGAACATCACTATGTCAGCCGATATCACTACCCGGTCTACTGTGAAAAAAAACATTCCAAAAGCCCAAGTCACCATCCCTGTGTATACATGAGTCTGCTCTTTGCATGAGAAAAAGGAACAAAACATTGTGAGATATGCAGCACCGATTGGCATACAAGTTATACTGCATATGGTGGTAAACACAGTCCGCATTAGAAAGGTACGATGCCACGTTGTAGTGCATTTACAAAGTGCAGTCTTGTGCCAGCAACATTTCAGGCAAAATTCCGTGTATGGTACTTGTCAAAACAATCCCGTGGTCCTATGTGAAGAAACACTCCACAGGCCTTGCAGTATGTAGTGACCCTGAGCTGAACCTTGTCAACGTCATAGCACTGCTGACAGTTTTTCCTTTGAGCATCGTACTTGGGTATGTGCATCTCGGGTGCAGCTGCTGCTATTGCTGCTGGTTCAGCTACTGCTGCTGGTGCTGGTACGGCTGGTACAACTTCTGGCGCGGCTGCTTCTGGTGCGGCTGCTGCTTCTGGTGCGGCTGCTGCTTCTGGTGCGGCTGCTACTGCTGGTGCGGCTACTGCTGGTGCGGCTGCTACTGCTGGTGCGGCTGCTACTGCTGGTGCGGCTGCTACTGCTGGTGCGACTGCTACTGCTGGTACGACGGCTTCTGCTGGCACGTCTGCTACTGCTGGCACGTCTGCTACTGCTGGTGCGGCTGCTACTGCTGGTGCGACTGCTACTGCTGGTACGACGGCTTCTGCTGGCACGTCTGCTACTGCTGGCACGTCTGCTACTGCTGGTGCGGCTGCTACTGCTGGTGCGACTGCTACTGCTGGTGCGACGGCTTCTGCTGGCACGTCTGCTACTGCTGGCACGTCTGCTACTGCTGGTGCGGCTGCTACTGCTGGTGCGACTGCTACTGCTGGTGCGACGGCTTCTGCTGGCACGTCTGCTACTGCTGGTGCGGCTGCTACTGCTGGTGCGGCTGCTACTGCTGGTGCGGCTGCTACTGCTGGTACGGCGGCTTCTGCTGGTGCGGCTGCTCCTGCTGCCACTACGGGTTCTTGTTCAGCTGCTGGTGCTGCTGGAGGCGGTGGAGCGTGGACACCAGCTTGGACATAGGTTCGCTTGGGCGGGGGCTCATCCACAGCAATTTCAGCCAGCTGCCGAATAAGGCCAGACTGAAAATCGGAATGCCGACTGTGTGCTGTACGTGGCAGTTGACCGGGGTGGTTAGCACGCCATATTTCAAAGTATCGAAAAGAATTGACTGCAGCAACATCAATCAAATCATAAAATATACTTTTCCACGACTTTCTCGTTCGTCGTAGCGTGCGATATGTTTCAATAAGTTGGTCGAACGTGTCAACACCACCCATACTACGGTTGTAGTCTGCGATACACCGAGGCTGAGTGATGTCAATTTGAAGGAAGTGACCCTGTGCATCCTTGGTTTTCCTTGCAACCATGACAGTGCTGTTTCCCCTATGGATCGAGGAGAGGACTGATACACACCTCTTATCCTTCCATTGCACATACAATGCATCCTGCTTGCGAATGTAGCGGATCGTCCCCCGCGCTGCCCACTTTTCGAACCGTTTCGAGTCGACTTTCATTTCTGCCGGAAAGCCGATTCGATTCTGTCGTATCGTTCCGACGATGCTGGTATTCAGGTTCTTCAGGGACATCAGCAGCTTCTCAGACGTGTAAAAATTGTCAACGTACACGACATGGTGCTGGTTGCCTAGATACTCCACCAAGCGTATCACCACATCATGCGCCAGTCCACCTGCGGTATTGCCCTGGCCAGTATAAATTTCAAAGTCGCACAGAATGGCACTAGCGCTGTCGCAGAGGGCAAACGCTTTGAACCCCCATTTTGTCGGCTTTGCTGGCATGTACTGGATGAAAGATGCGCGGCCCTTGCACCGAATCATCCGTTCGTCCACCGCGATGTTTTGTGACGGCTTGAATAACGTACGACACTTTGTGCGAAAATGCTCGATCAGGTGACGCACCTTTCGGAGACGGTCTTCCGGGTTCTCAGTTGTATGATCCACAACCTTCAGAAAGGACATCAGCGCCTTGAACCGCTTGTGGGATGGTATCATCAGCCTGGCATAACCACCAGCAAAGAGAGAAGTAGTTTTGTAATAATCAGCCAGTTCGGGACGAGGAAGGTAAGCCATATAGAGAAGTAGGGCAAGAAGTTTGTACATTTCTGCACTTGTTGTTGCTGTCCATAGGCCATCTTTATTTTTGTAGGAAGGGCGCTGGTCGATGTGTGCATCAGCGTAGGCATTCGTGAACTTGACAATGTCTGCTACTATTTCAGGTGTGAAAAATAGTTTGAACACACTCGCCTCCGAGTCGACAACAAACCCAGGAGGCAGTTTTAGTCCAGGTTCACTGGACGGCTGAAACACAGGAATCTGCTGAGGTCCATTGTCATCGACGACATCCATGGACGACAACGGTGCGTAACCAAGTCCAGCACCGCGTCCTCGGCCTCTTCCACGACCTGCGCCAGCTCCGCGACCTGCGCCAGCAGCGCGACCTGCGCGAGCACCGCGACCTGCGCCAGCACCGCGGCCTGCGCCACCGCCACGACCTGCACCACCGCCATGACCCCTCGCTACGGCTGCCTGTCCTTGTCCTCTTCCACCCTGCTGAACACCACGCCCTCCGCCTCTTGGTTGTCCTTGGCCCTGCAACGGAACAGGCTCATCACCAACATCGTCGTCCACCTGATCGTCAGCTGATCCGTCATCGGAACTGACATAGCCGTCAAGCTCTCGGTCCAGCTCTTCCTCTTCGCTCGACGACATGAAGTCGCCTTCAGAAGAGTCAGAGCTCTCAGCAGGCAGAGGCTCATCGTCGGCCTCGAGGTTCTGTAAGAGATTGAGAGCTTGCTCCGCGTCCATTTTCGAACGACAAGAAACAAGTGTGTTGTACTTCGGCAACAAGACATCGTTTCTTTTCCCAAGTATACAGTCAGATGGGGCACGCGGCTTTAGTTTGTATGCAGAGGATGCGCTCCGCTGCGCTTCGCCGCGCGTCGAAACGCTGACTACGATCGAGGATAACTCAATATTTTTAGTACGGACCCCGGGTCTTTTACCCCTTCAGCTTGTTCCCCTATGTATCTACTATGTGTGTGCCAAATCTCAGCCCATTCAGACGATGTACACAAGCGCTGGGAGCATACAACCCACCCCCAGAAAATATCAGTCGTAAATGACTGATGCACCGCAAAGGGTTAAAGATACTGAACAAAGCCAAAATAAGTACAGCTACTTTCAACCTATTCAATCCCAATACTTGTCAAATCCGTTCTCTATTACTCTTCATAAAGTGAGCTATCCAGTGTCTTCACAATGCACACATGCGTGCAATGCGCACACGGTACAAGTGCTTGAAGGGTGTACATATCATATCCCACAGGCGGTGTGGTCTGCATTAAAATATAATTATTGGTTATTAACAAGAAATGGCAAAGGGAATATTGACTTACCCCCTGTAGTTGGCATCAATAACATCCATATCCAAAGAATGAGAGGAACAGACACGGGAATCGTGAGTTGAAGATCGAGTGAATTAGACCGGGCACAGCAAAAATGGAAAGCAGCCCCACACAATGGCAAAAAGGACCGTCAGTAATCATTATAAAGATACTGAACAAAGCCAAAATAAGTACAGCTACTTTCAACCTATTCAATCCCAACACTTGTCAAATCCCTTCTCTCTTACTCTTCATAAAGTGAACTATCCAATTTCTTCACAATGCACACAGTACAACACATGCTTTGAGATTGTACATGTCACATCCAAGAAGCGGCGTGGCTTGCATCACAATTATACTGAAGTAAATACTCATTTTAAACAGGGAGTGGACTAGGAAACATTATCTTGCTTTCTGCAGTTGGCATCACAAATATTCGGATCTAAACAGGGAGATGACTTAGTACGGTAATGGTGAGGTGTAGATTGAGTGAATTATTCCGGGGCAAAGCAAAAATGGAAAGCAATTACTCATAATGGACAAATGGACAATCAGTAATCATTGAAAGGGTGTTGAGCAAATAAAAATCAAGTACAGTTTCCATTGGTAATTGTGACAAGAAAACGTTCTGGTATACATTATTCGTCCCCATGGTTGTGATATGAGTGCGCATTTAGTTATATTTATTGCATTACAGCGAAAGTGTTGTTCTAAATTACTAAACACCCATACTGGTTAAAACTGTTCTTTATAACTCTTTGGAAAGTGAACTATCCAGTGCGTGCACTGCGCACACTGTACAAGTGCTTGAAGGTTGTACATATCATATCCCACAGGCGGTGTGGTCTGCATTAAAATATATTGGTCATTAATAAGAAATGGCAAAGAGAATATTGACTTACGGGCTGTAGTTGGCATCAACAACATCCATATCCAAAGAATGAGAGGAACAGACACGGCAATCGTGAGTTGAAGATCGAGTGAATTACCAGAGAATTTGAAAGCTCAGGTCCCTATGCTCTGCTTTTTTGCCTAGTTCATCATGAATGTTATTCGAACTGATGGAAACGTTTTTGCAATACAATGATGTAGCCGGTAAAGTTCTTTTAGTATAACTCTTCATGAAGTGAACTACCCAGTGTCTTCATAATGCACACTGTACAACACATATTTTGAGATTGTACATGCCACATCCAAGAGGTGGTGTTGTCTGCACAACAAATACACTAGTTATAAACAAGAAAAGGGCTAGGAATCATTGACATTCGCTCTGTAGTTGGCATCAACAACATCGATATCCAAACTATGAGAGGATTCGACACGGCAATGGTTATTCGCAGGCTTGCCCCTACCTCGCTCACCTGTTAACGGGTGCACTATTAAGCTAACCAACATCTTCTTTTATCAGTTTTTGTACCGAGAAGTTTCTAATCGAAACAGTAGTACATACAGCGAATGTTTGCAATTTGGTCTAAATTTGCTTGAAAAGTACGGGTTCACCCAGGAAAGTAAGGTTGTATGTTGATGGTTGTAGATTTGTTGTTAGATAGTGGTGGTAGGTTTGGAAGTAATGATGGTGGATGCAGCCAAGTTAGACTTGATGGTGGTGGCAACAGTTAGAGGAAGCTTGCATGAAGTTGTGATATGAACTCACCTTCAAACGTGGATGGTTTCTCAGCCATGATGCTGGGTTTTGTATGTCCTAGAGAAGAGCGATAGAGAGAGAGAGAGAGAGAGAGAGAGAGAGAGAGAGAGAGAGAGAGAGAGAGTGTGTGTGTGTGTGTGAGAGAGAGAAGTGAGAGAGAGAGAGAGAAAGAGAGAGAGCGTGCGAAAGAGAGGGAGAGAGAGAGAGAGAGAGAAGGTAGAGAGAGAGAGAGAGAGAAAGAGAGAGAGAGATAGAGAGAGAGATAGATAGATAGAGAGAGAGAGAGAGAGAGAGAGAGAGAGAGAGAGTGAGAGAGAGCGTGTGAGAGAGAGAGAGAGCGCGAAAGAGAGAGAGAGAAGGGAGAGAGAGAGAGAGAGAGAGAGAGAGAGAGAGCAGTAGAAGGAAAAAAACTTGTGTTACTGATTGTGTGTCAGACCCGGAGTGGTTGGACAAGATACTTGAAGCGTCTATTTACAAAATATCGTATAGGAAATTTGGAATACATTTGAAGTCTTCAATGATGACTAGCTAGTTTGTACTTGAGGTGTTTGGGCTATAGCGTGGGCTGCGTCCTACCAGCATGTGTCCATTAACAGGAAGTACTAGTCTAAAGAGAATGTTGAATGGCCGCTGCCTGGATGGCAACTACTAGTTTAGTGGTACAGCATCCCTGGCCATAAGCAAGGGTTCCTGGTTCAAGTCCTTTTGGTGATACTAGTAGTAATTTTGTTTGCGTTTTACCGACAAAATTCATGTTTACTGCTGAGGAATTCTTGTTTAGCCAACAAAATTATAACACATAAATATAACACAATGTCAAAATGATAACACATGAAGCCTAAAAGGCTATGTATGGCCATATCAAGCATGAATTACTTCCAGCGGTGCTGCACTTGTGTTCATGGCCAGCTCACAATTGCTGCACCGATTCAACCGGTGCTCCCCGCATTGAAATGCCGGGATGCACAAGCATTGAAAAACACCATGCACAGACTGCCTTGTTCCTAGTGCATGTTTTGCAAAGTGATAATGCTGCAATGGTGCTGTAATGATACTGAAAAAGAGCTTCATTTTTGATATGCATGTCATACATACTATACAAAATATGGGTTCACATACATTCAAATGGGACTTCGGTTATAAAGCCACTTTTCTGATGCCCCGCCGAGTGTCGTTATTCGCAAAGTTGACTGTAGTATGATATGCATGTCAAAATGAAGCTCTTTTCATGCTCCATGCCAATGTGTACTTTTTTTCCATATTACAATTCAAAGGAGCTATAAAGTCAATATGGAGGGGGAATAGATTGAAAAATTAGCCTTTTGGAGCCATCAACAGGGACATGTAGATATGTATGATGATTATTGTACAATCATGTACAAATACATGTAGTTGGGATGATCACTTCAACTACTGTATTTAGAAGCAAAATGAAATAAATAGAATAAAAAGCCCCCCCCCCCCCCTTTGGCTGCATCTTCTTGCACATGTACATTTTTATCCATTGCCATGGGTTCTGGTACCTCTGCATGACATGTACATGTACATGTACTAGTACTTGAAATAGCTGTCAAAAACCCAGAAAGTCGTTATTCAAGCAGTGAATATGACCCTGGGGCACTAAAAGCATGTCTCTATTCGCGAATTGTCGTTATTCAGATAGTCGTTATATCCGAAGTTAAATGTATACAGTTAGATGGGACTGTGTTCTGGGCAGGGAAATTCTGTTGCTATTCTGTGAATTGTCGTTATAAGCGAAATAGACTGTACATGTACATACTTGACAACCCAGTCAAAGCAAATTCCGTAGTCACACGCCCAGTTTCCCTTGATTTTCTCTCATTTCCGTTATTTTGCTGGTTTTCGCCAATTTCGGCCATTTT